CTTGCCGCCATGAGCAGAACAAAGATCCCTGCCCTTTGGGACTTGCATTCTAGTTGGGAGTGACAGACATGCACCATAGCCACAGTATATACAGACATTATATATTTTAGAATATTTGACCTTATATACATACTTAATATGTAAATATTAATGTAACATTAAACAAATGCAATTGATAATAATTTTTTTTTATATATGCTAGGGAAAATAGAGCATGTCGGAGACTTCTTCATGACATACTTTTCAGACCATGCTATTCATACTGTTCCCATCTCAATCCTTAAGAACATTCCAGGTGTTATGCTGATGGCCCCCTTGCCCACCTGCCCTGTATCCCTTAACTACTCTCATGGGAAGTCACAGAAACAGACCATTTAGGCCTGTTGGAGCCTTCGAGAGCATGCAGTTAAGCGGTTTTCCACCTTGGTTCTGCTTCGCTCAGACGGATGATGGGGACATGTGTGGACCTGTTCCTCTGGGTTCTTCACATCACGCCAGCCACGTTACATCGAGGCAGAGCCCTCCGAGAACTGGCACCAGGCAGGCCTCTCTGGCCGGAATTCCAGCGCAAACTGTTCTTTCAGGCAGGGAGAGTGACGGTGACGTCCAAGCCGGGGAACTTCTCATGGGCTAAGCCCACGCCTCTCACAGGTCACAGCTCTAGCCCGGAAATGTCCCTCTCTTTGCCGCCGTAGAAAGAATGATATTAAGAGCAGAACTAAAGGCCAGCCAGAACAACCATTAAGAGGAGTAAGAGAATAAATCACAGCAGCCGCAGAAGAAATGTAAAGACCTCGGAAATTGCTGTATGTGGAAGCGGATAGGAACAATTGCTTATTATCAAGTAATTGTCACATGTCAGGATTTGGCACAAAGGAGGAACGGAAGGTCATAACGTCCCTTCTGGACCAGTGGGAAATGAGGATGCGAAGGTAGCTTAGTCCTTTTTAAAATCAGTTACGTGAGCTGCAGTTGTTTGAGCATGATCTCCGCATGGAGAGGGACAGGTTTCAGGCACGCCATGCAGGGGAAGACCCTGAGCGAAGCACTATTTCCATGGACTCGGAAGAATTCTTTCTGCTGGGAATGTGTACGTCTCACAATTCCAGTTAAGACCATCACGATTCTGATCCCTGTTGAGAAAATGAAATTAGACTCCATTTAGACCACATTTGGCCTAATGATGTTCACCACCTCCTGGGCCAAAGGATATTCCCAAATGAGCATAAATTGCAAAGTGAGATTAGCTATCATAGAGAACTTGGTGATATCGGGATTATAAAGCACCAGAAGCTTCTAATAAAGAGACAGTTTGTGTTTCAGTTCCATAAATTCTTTATGAGATAGACACTCTTAACCTGAGACCAGTTCAGATTATGCTCACAGAGCCTTCTTACCAGGTCAGTTGTGACTCAGGAAAACCTGGGGGACATATGAGAGTGTCACCGTGACTGCATTCACTTATGTCCCAGTTGGGTTTCTCAGTCTTGGCACTGTAAATATTTGGGGCCAGATAGTACTTCGTGGGGACTGTCCTGTGCATTGTAGGATGTTGGGCAGCATCCCTAACCCCCCAACCCCCCAGTCATGACAACCAAAAATGTTTCCAGATTTTGCCAAATGACCCTGGGGGACAAAACCTACCCCCGCTCCACCCTTGCTTCATTGAGAACCACTGCTTTATGGTGACCAGCCATCTCAGTTTGTCCAGGACTGAGGAATTTGGCACATGGGACTTTCAGTGCTAAAACTGGGACAGACCGTGTAAACTGGGGTGAGTCGATCAAAGGGGTGTGCCATTAATACGTTTTACTTCATACTAAAGTTTAAAAGTAAGAAACCAAACGTTTTGAAAAGTCTGTCTTGGGGAGGCGTGGACAGAGGCCTTTCAGGAAACATGGTATCATTCCACCTCGGCATGTTTTCATTAAGGTTTTAGAGACCAAGGTCCATCTTTTCCTCAGTGTCTTTAAAGCTGGAGTCGTGATGAGATGGGCTGTTGGCCAGTGGATTAAGAGGACATGATTCAAACCTTCGTGCCTTTCTAGAAGAGAGGTTCTTGTTTGACACTTAGTAGTGAGTTTGAGTGACAGACTTCTCCTTAGAATCGAAGGCCGTGTGACAGTATGCATCATGAAAGTGACAGACAACAGCGACTAATTTAATTCCATTTTTGTTTGCAGCCCCGATAAATCATTGCTGCAGGGAACAATAAAATTTTACTTTCTCAGACAAAAATGATTTGAATAACGATGCGCTCCGGGGAGATTGGGGTCCGAGGAAAGGTCTGTTAGTGGGCTGAAAACATTTAGAATGGCGTGGTATGGAACTTAGGGCAAACGCCTCCTGCGCTTAGCCTGGTAATGACTTGGACCAGCAAGGCCTCCTTCCCAGACTAATTAGAAAAGTCTCATAAAATCGTAGCAGCCATGGTAGCTAAATGATTGCGTTTTTTAGGGTGTCTCGTTGGAATGGGTAACTGATTATAGTGCTGTGTATCCTGCATGCGTTGGTGAACGAAACAGCTAAAATAAGGATGGCAGGCTCTAGAGCCCTGACCATTTAGGAATAGGAAAAGTCTCAATGTGAATGGAAAATTGCCCGTGTTTTTCATCTCCCTTCCAGAAAATGATTGTTGCTTAGGCATGTGCTTCTGCTGGGAGGCTTTTTAAATGATGTAGGGAACGAATTATGGATGGGGCAGGGCTTGGGCCTCAGAGTGCTCTGCACGAGGAGCCTAAAGAATCTGGGGCGGGTGCAGAGTAGATGGAACCCCTCCCCCAAGGACAGCAGTGGCGAGCGGGCCCTAAGGCTTGTAGAGAGTCATATGTACTTTTTCGAAGCTAAACAATGCCCAGCCTACTTTGGGGAGATCCTATAATCCCCATTTCCATCCGTTAAAAGCAGAAGAAAACCACTTGCCTGTATGTAAAACCCAGTTCTTCCTACACTGCCCATTGACATATCACTCTGGGGTTGGGGGCAAAAAAGGAGAGAACCCATTTTGCTTCTAAACCATTTCCTGCAAGCCTGCCCGCTGCGATTTCCCCACTCTCGACATCGGCCTCAGTTGCACTCCAGCTTCAGTGACTGAAAAAAATAAATCATAGGCAGAAGCTATAAAAACCCCTGTCAGGAAGCAGCACCTTCCTTTCGAGCAGTGTGAACGTTAAGGTAAATGAGCAGTTACTGCAGAGATGACTTACAGGAGCGAGACGTTCTGCGTTAGAGCAGCAAGAATTGCTGTGTGAATTATAAAACTGCTCCAGCCCGCTCCTCACAGCCCACCTGAGAGTAGTGGTCTCCGTCTGCCGCTCCCGACTTCAGGGAGCTTTGATTTCTCCATTCATTTTAACCCTGATAAATGGCCCAGAGCTTTGGATTAGGTCCGGCCAGCCATTGAAAATACATATTTGTCTTTTAAAAAGCAGGTCCTGGATACTGTCAGAAATAAGAGAAACAATTTGAGAAGACATGCAAGGTACACAGTATTTTACTAGGTCTGGTTGTCGTTAAATGCCATGTCCAAGAGGGTTTGGGGATTTGAGGGGCTAGCAGTGATGCCCAACCCTCCCCCCACCCTTCCTAGTTATATCAGCTCAGAATTCAAACACTGCTTCCTGGTGTTCTTTATTGCCAACGTGAAGCCCTCAGGAGCTGAGAGCCTGCGTCATCTTTTTGGGTCTGATGTACTGCTAGACATCGGGTCCTAGACACTTAGCTGTAGGCACCAGAATAGGAAAAAAACAAAATGGTAGCATCTGGAAAGACAGAAAACCCCAGGGTATACAGCTGGGGAGTGGGGGGAATAAAAATCATGCAGACATCTTTAAGGACTATGTAATACTGTATATTTAAATACAATATTTAAAGACTTCTCTGGGCCTGGGCTATACTGTCGAGTCTGCCTCTGAAGGGAAACAGAACAAAACAAAATTTAATAAGCCCTCGGTTTACAAAAGGTCTTGGGACCTGTGCCCTTGAGTTTTCTATGTTTTAAAAATATGTTTTCTGCAAAGGCCTGCATGGATCCCTGCTCCAGAGGCATGGCTGTCAGTGTATCTGTTTCCTAGGGCTGCAGCAACCAATTGCCAAAAGCTGGGTGGCTGAAATACCACAAATTTATCCTCTCAGATAAATTTGAGGCTGGAAGTCCGTTGGCAGTGTCGGTTCCTCCTGGGGGCTCCAAGGGAGAGTCTGTTCTGTGGGAGTCCTTGGTGTTCCTTGGCTTATAGCTTTACCACTCCGACTTCTGGCCCCATCTTCACATCTCCCCTCTGTGCGTCTCTGTGTATCAAATCTCTCTCTCCTTTGTCTAATAAGGATATCAGTCCCTGGAGTTAGGGCCCACTCTAAATCTTGAGATCCTTAACTTAATTACATCTGCAAAAACTGTTTTTCAGATAAAGAAATTCACAGGTACTGGGGCTTAGGATGTGGATACATCTTTATGGGTGACGCAAGTCAACCGACCACAATCATCAAGGGACCATATTTTGTTTCTCTTAGTATCTCTAAAGTTGCTATTCTCTGTTGCTGTAGTCCATTTTCTAAACTCCACTCATATGAATTGTTAAGCTGATGTCTGACTCTAAGATTTGCCTCTGTCCCTCCCACACCCCCATCCCTTATTTGAGCTTAAACATCCCTTCATACCACTTCTGCCGTATCTCTCCTAGGAGACAAAGGCCAGTCTGGCCAAATCCTCCAAACATGGCACCTCTAAGGCACTGAATGCTCATGACCTTGTAAATCAAATCTAAGAGGGCAGGCTTACAATCCCACCGTCACACTGGGCTGTAAGCTTTCACCGTCACACGTTTGAAAAGCAGGTGAATATGCACAGAAAACAATTAACTGTGGTAAAGACCTGCGAGATGGGGAAGGGGTGGGTGGCCCAGAGATCTGATTTCTCTAGCAGTCAATTTATCCAGAAAGATAGGGTAGCACAGAGAGGCTCCAGACAGACCCTGATTTTTTCTTTCTTTCTTTCCTCTTAGCAAACTGCCGAGTTGGGCTAGAGCTGTTGTTCCCAAAATATTTTATGTTACAGAGAAGGCTTGGAACTATTACCAATGTCCCTAACAAAAACAATCGGTATGTCATGGGTAGCAAGAGGATATAACCGTAGTCAGATTTCACTGATTTAGGGTTTGTTATTCAAGCAGGGACTTGTGGGAAAGCCCTGTAACACCTCCCTCACCCTTTGCCTTCATCCTTTTAGGTCGACACTCTTCCTGGGTGGGGAGGGGAGTGGTGTCAAGCTAAAGGGTTCCATCTTCCTCCCTTAAGTGCTTGATGTAGACAGCTTTTGAAGAAGGAACGTGAAGCTCTTTTTAGTGATATTTCTAGAGGTTCCATTATCCTTATTTCTGTCTGATCCATCAGTATTCCCTAAGTAATTTTTGGGTGTGGTTTGTTTAGAAACAAGTTCTTTTGACTTGTATTATAGGCCCTCCTTCACTCCCCTCTCTCCTCCCCAAATAAACATCTTGACTATAAATTCTGTTGGGTCTCTCTGTCCCAAACTATAACCTTTGAAAATGGATAATTGAAGATCTTTAAGATCATGTTCCCTCTTACTGATCATGGAGAAATGATGACCTCTATGCTGATACTGAGCTAGAAACTGTGGTGAAAAAAATATTTAGAAGGTTTGGTTTCTTCCCTCCATCACAAGAAAATTCTATACCCCACCTGAATGTCGTCCTAACAAGCTCCTCTTATTGGTTATGAAAGCTGCTTTTCACCTAAAGATTCTCTGTGTGGTTAATGAAGTGCTATACTGGAATTATTAGTCTTTAATTCTGCTTTTATAACGTCAACTCTGGTTTTTAATTAGCCACAAACCTGTAGGATAATTGAATCTTGTCTCACAGTCTGTATCTGTCCAGCCCCGAAAGTATCATATTTAAGAGTTTCAAGAGCAAACATGGAAACATTCAGTATTTATGAGAGTTTAATTTTTGGAAGGTTCTTTTACCACATTTCTAATAATTATAATGCACCAGTATTTTTTGTTCTGTGGTTTTATATTACATATAAGTATGGTCTAAATCATCATTTTGTCTCTCTTTTTCTTTTCCCGCTTGTCCAAATGAACATCTGGGACCAGAATACACAGTAAGTTTCATTTAATCATTTTAAAATATTCAACCTATGATCAGTGGAGCAATTGGAACTTCTCTTGTACTTCTAATCTTATTAAAGTAATGAAAATGTAGAAGAATTCAGAATCAGAAATATTTAAATGTTGGCTATTACAAAGTTATATATAATGCAATAACTTGAATGTTCTCATTTATTCAACAGTGTGAATGTTAATTTGAAATGCCTTGATAGTCACTTGACATAATTAACTTTTGCTTGTATTTTTAAGTAGCTTGACTGCTCTATTTGTGATAGTACACTGTAAGAGAAGAATAATGTCTAGAAATGTGATATTAAAAAGATGGTGGTAGTTATCAATGGAAGATGGGGTTTATCCTCAGAGGCTGTGGCCTGATCCCTTATTGGAGAACCTTGAAACTAGAAATACGTACATTCAAACTATTTTACTCAGAGCGCGGGATTGAAAGGTCTCAGTGGCTTGATAAAAATTATTTAATTTCTTCCTGTCCTGAGAGCATCTAGAGTCATTACTTACACTGAAAAATAAAATTAAAAAAAAAAAAAGAAAGAAAGAAAGAAAAAGACCCTATAATATCATTGTTTTGATGTTTTCATGTAGATCATTTCCCTAATGGCCAGCAGATCTAACTTCTATAACAAGACAGTGGTTATCTGAGCTGTGATGGAGTTGAATTTTTTGGTCTTAATCCAAATAGCCAAAGGAGAGAGAGATGGTAAGAGAGAAATGGAGGGAAATGATTCATCATGTCCTAGGCATGATTGTGGTACCCTGCACGAAGGAAATACTCAATAAATAGTTATCAAATGAATGAATTCATTCTCAATGAATTCGCGAATCCATAACTCAATGAATAGTTATTGAACGACAGAAGGAATGCACGAGTCAAAGATAGATTATCACAACAGATACAGCAGAAGCGTCACCAGCTTTCGAGTCAGTAGACCTGTGTGTCCTCCGATTCTGCCGCTTACCAGCTGAAGTTATTGAGTGACCCCCAATAGCCAATTCTTGGTCCATGACTGTGTTCTCACCCGTTCTTTGCAAAATGAAAAAATAAGAATAGTATTCAGAGTTTTCATAAAATTAATTTATGTTAGAAGTCAGAGAACCACTGCTCTAGAACAAGCAACTTAACTTCTCTGAACTAGGTTTCCTCATCTCTAAAATTGGGATAATCTCTCTTTTATCGAACTATTAGTAGAAGGATTCAGTGGTCTGACACAGAGGTCAGACTTTTTCTGTAAAGGGTTATGTCGTCAATATTTTCTGCTTTGTGGGCCAAACAGTCCCTGTGACTGTGGAAGCGGCCAGGGACAGTATGTAAAGATATTGGCATGGTCACAGTTGCCCAGGCGGCAGGCCAAATATGGCCCCTAGGCTGTAGCTCACCAACCCCTGATCTAATGTGAAGAAGCTGTTAGCACATAGCCTGTACCTAAGAGGCAGCTAAACGGTGACCTACCAATACTACCCCGTTCCATTGCCTCTAGCAATTGCACAGCCTTCAAGAGGAAGACGGAGGGATCTTTTGAGTCCCGCCTCCACGATCAGTTACGCAAACCACTTTCTTTCAAGCCTCCATTTCCTCATCTGTAAGTGGGGACAATGTAATAACTATCTTATAAGGGTGATGTGAAGATTATATTAAATAATCCACATGAAATCTTAGCCTGGTCCTTGGTGCATGGTAAATGCTCAGTAAATGTTTATTATTTCTTGTGCAATACTAGAAGCTGCCACCTTTAAAGTGGAAGTTCTGTGGGCAAATGAATGGGACTGTATCTTGGGGCCCTTCAGCACAGACGGGGCTCCATTTATGAGACTGGACAGTCCTAATTGTCTAGGATATTATTTAATTTTATTGATATCTGATGTTATCCCACTTTCCACTTCTCAGCTTGTACATAGACTTTCCATTTGAAATGTAATCGATAGTTACATGGACAAGCGAATTCTGGTCCCTATAACTACCCAAAGGCAGTTATTGGCCTGGCAATGCATAGAATTAGGTCACCTTGACTTGACCCCAAACTGATGGCCGTTATTCTCCGTAAGCCCGCAATACTGCGAAACGTGGGTGATTAACAGAAAAGAAGTCTGAAAAATGTTTAATGATACTGTGTTCCTTTTTTAAGAATATGTATTAAAGCACTGAGGTTCTGAAAACAGTGCAGCAGAATGAAAATCATGGTTCCTGACAAAGCCATCCCCGTGGGGAGTCGCCCCCTGAGGCAGCCCTCCCACGGGGCTCTCCTGCCAGCCCTGGGACGAGAGCCTGGGTCTCCTGTGCCGACCTCCGTGCAGGCCACGGAGGGATTCTGAGGGCCCCTTGGCCTTTCCTTCTGCCCGGCCTCTGCCCTACAGTGCTCCTACAGTTCTAATCACATAGTTCCGACTTTTAATTGGTTTTATTTCCGTGCGAGCAAATTTGGGGACAAAACATAAAGGAGTTAGTTATAGTTGTAAAGTCTCCTGCTTGCCCCCTCCTGTTTGACTCTAAGTATTACCTGAGGTTCTCTAGCGGCTCATTTCTCTTTGTTGTTCTCAACTCCTCCCTAAGGGTCAACTCCTCGGGGAAGAGTCTTAGGGCCGCCATGACAAAGTACCACAAAAGGGGAGCCTGAAAACAACAGAAATTTATTGTCTTACAGTTCTGGAGTCTAAAAGTTCAAATCAAAGTGTCAGCCCGATCATGCCCCCTCTGAAACCTGTAGGGGAAGAATCCTTCTTGGCCTCTTTCTAGCTTCGGGTGGTCCCAGGCATTCCTTGGCTTGTGGCAGCCTAAGTCCAAACGCTGCCTCAGTTTTCACATAGTCATCTTCCCTCGGTATCTATGTCTCCACGTGGCATCCTCCTGGCAACTCTCATCTTCTTATAAGGACACCAGTCTTATTGGATTAAGGACCAGTATGATGTCCTCTTAACTTAATGGCAAGTGCAGTGACCCTAGTTCCAAATAAGATCACATCCTGAGGAACTGGAGTCATATAATGGCAGGGGGTGGGGGTGGGGAGGAGAGGCGGGTTCAACCTGTAACGTCATCTTTCAGTATTAGCTTTACATTTATTTCTTAAGCACCAACAATGCATAAAACATCGTGCTAGAAGGCTTCGTTGAGCAATAACCCCTGCCCTTGAGGGAGTTACAATCTGGGAGTCACAGTCAAAGCCTGGGAGTCATCAGCAAGTCATGGGGTTTTCTGGAGGCAAGATGGGACATGCCGTCACTCAGCCCAGGGGACACGCTGCCACCAGACCTGCCCACTGAGCTGGATGAACTCTGAGAAGGGCTGATGGCAGAGGTTCAGACCAGAGGGCAGAATGAACGGCCCTGGGGAATCAGCCAGACAAGCAATTGCAGTGTGCAAGGAAGTGCCCTGCCTCCTGGATTGGAGCCTTAAGCTTCAGTGACAGGACCACAGTCCTCAAGAAGCGGTATAGGCAGGAGGACCAGGACGTAGCCATCTTACAATGAATGGGTCAGATGAGATGATCATGAGATGCTGGGTCGATAAAGTTGCCAGCTTTAGCGAGTAAAAATACCTACTATCCCGTAAGTTTGAATTTTCAGATTAACAGCAAATAGTTTTTAGTATATCTCAAGTATTGCATGAGATATACTAAAGGATGCTCATCTTGTATTTTATCTGGTAATCCCCTTGGGGGAGGGGTGGCAGTAGGGAAGAACTGGTCTCAGAGACCAAAGTACGAAAATCAGGTTGTAAGAACAGGGCACATCGAGAGGCCAAGGGAGAGGGGCAAGAGAGAATTGTTTAACTTAGGAACCTGTCCTGCAGTTGACATGCCACATTAACTCAGGCCAATCAAGTGACCAGTCAGAACAACTTCAGTACTTCTTGCCTCAGTCAGGATTGGCTCAGGGGGTGAAATGAATTGAGGAGGGTAGAGTTGGAGAAAGTAAAGTGAGAGCAGATGAATACGTAACTGTCCGTGTTTCGGGGAAGACCCGTGCTCAGTGTTGTAGTTGAAGTGCAAACAGGATTGTGGAAAGGAGAGAGAAATTCTGCCTGGGAGGAATACAGGAGGGTTTCTCGGAGAAGGTAGGATTTGAGCTGGACCTTAGGAATAGTAGAACTCCCACATACTGACGCCTGCTCTGTCTTAACCTGCTCAGGATGCATAAGAAAACACCATAAACTGGGCGGTTTAAACAACAGACATTTATTTCTCACAGTTCTGGAGGCTGCAAGTTCAAGATCAAGGTGTTGGCTGATTCGGTTCCTGGTGAAGGTCCTCTCCCTGGTTTGTAGAAAGCTGTCTTCTTGCTGTGTCCTCACTGGGCAGAGAGGAAAAGCAAGCTCTCTGGTCTCTTTGTATAAGGGCACTAATCCCATTGCGAGGGCCCCGCCTTCATGACCTCCTCTAAACCTAAGTACCTCCCAAAGGTCCCCATCTCCAAAAATCATCACATTAAGGGGGGGGCGGAGCTGCAACATATGGATTTGGGGTCAGGGACACACTTCTTACATAGCATGCTTATTCCAGGCCCAGTAGGTAAGTGATGTCACTGGATCCTGGCCACCTGGACACATGGAGGCCAGGTCAGAGCAGCTGTGAATGTCAGGTCAAGGGCTGGATTTAATTCTCCATAAGGAAGCAACATTGTTCCAGGCTAATCCACTTTTATTTTCCATCCCAAATATAGGACAGCTTTTCTTTCTGTCTCTCAGTGACTGGGGGATCTGCGCTGATTTCTCTCGGGCTGCAGGTGCACTCACTGCCTCCGCTGACTCGGGTCAGCCTCGTTCTCACGCTCTCTGCCCGCCACAGCCCAGGCGGGGGGCCCGCTCTTCTGACTGTCGGTTCTGCTCCTCGGATTTATGACAGATGGTTTCAATTGTCTTCATCTCTTTTCCTGTTTTAAATGCTTTTTCACTGGTCTCTTGATCCCCTGATCCTTTAATCCTAAATACCTCTTCTTGATGTTATTCCATTTTCATATTTCCTGTCTGTGCCCCAAAGCAAAACTTCCCCAATGCCAAACTCCCAGCTTGGGTCACCCAGCCCTACCCTCCGTCATGGAAGCTCAGGGGCTCTCACTGCTCTAGACAGGTGTCTGTTCCTAGGATTAGCCCAGAGCACTATTTGTCTATTCCTAGGATGTCCCAGGTCTTTTATCTGACTGCCCAGTCTGTTGCTGAGACCTCATGCTGCCCTCATGTGTGACAAAATCCAGCCAAGAGAACTTTCTATTTAAGGTCATCTGGGGCTTCGACATTATTACGGTAATAAAGACATAAAAGCTTTTTTATCACCGCGAATGATCCTGTGTGTTTAGGATTATGTGGAAATGCCATTTGCCCAGGAAGTGGGAAAAATATCTTTAGCTTGGTTATAGGGGAAAAAAAAAAATCTTAATTATACAGTTTTCCAGAGGACAGACCATCTAACCAGGTCTTCCTAACCTGCTGGTTCTTCTGAAGTTTGTAAAGTCACAAAGGAAGGTGCCGGAGGAGACTGGCTGCCTTCCAGAGTCGCTGGTTTTGTTTTTCCAGGGCTAAAAAAAGGCGGTGCTGGGCTGTGAACACAGTGCAGCAGCATCAGTTCAGCCGCGGTAGCAACGAAGGGGGAAAAAAAGACTTTCTTCTCATTTGTAAGAATTCGACAGCCTAAGCTATAGTAAGTCAACAGCGAGTGACCTAGAATATACAGTTGCTATATATATACTTGGTTGCCACGACCTTCCCACTCCACCACAACATCTTTTAATAAGAATCTGCAGAAGAGGCGATGACAAAGGGGAAGCACATTTCTGTTAGAAGGGCTGGCTGTTACCCAGGGAGCAAAGGTAGTCGTGGGCTGTCCGGTGTTGCTCGACATTTTAATGAACTGGTTGAAAGAGGTAGAAAAAATAAATTGCAGCAGACCAGGGAGAAGGAAATGGCTCTGGAATGAGAACCTCAGACAGCGTTGAGCCATGAGGAGAGACGGAGCCATTCAGGATCGGTTTACTCAAGCCTGGGAACGGGTCGTCAGTCACCCCAGGTGAACACGGGGCATCCTCCCACGGGTGGCAATAGAGAGAGAGAGATTGAGGTGTTTTTCTGAAAGCAGCTAACTGTGCCGGGTAGGAATCTCACTCGCAATCGTGACCTCATCAGCTTCCTGGACAATTGAGTGAGCTGATGAGTTCTGGCCGCCATTCCTCTCAAGCCCTCTCTTCCTTCTTAAGTTCCCCGTCCTGTACCCTCTAAGTCCCCACCAAGGGTTTTAATTACAAAATGAGGAAATAGGTACAAGTCCAGGAAAGATACATTATTATTCCAGCACTCTAGGATTGATCTTGTTTGGAAGGAAAGCAGAGGACAATCTGGCCATCTCAACTACTTTGGAAGGAAAGCAGAGGACAATCTGGCCATCTCAACTACTGTGTAAGCTAAGAGAATGGAGGTCCCAATGTGTTCCTTTTTTGGGGTCACGGAGACAGGGGTAGGGACGGGGGTTAGATGATTAGGAAATGTCTTTTATCTCCACATCACAAGTAACCCTGAATATCCAGAGCGTACATTAATTGGCGTGAAGAGGGGGCGAGCAAAGAGAAGTATTCCTTCTTAGAAATGGGGCCGCATGAGCTGGGACCCGTTAGGGCCCAGGCCAGAGAAACAGCCCTCCAGTTGGAGGTGCCGGTGAGCAAGGTGGCAATTAGGCCAGAAGAGAACCCTCCCGGAGAAAATGGTTGAAGTCATCGAAGACGTGGGTCACAGCATGAGGCTTGTGTCGTAAATAGAGCCAGAATGGCCAAGTCCAAAAATCTTCTGGATTTAAGAGAATTTAGATGGAAATGTTCTAGAACCATTTATAACAGTCATAAAGATGATGCACAGCCCATTAAGTAAGGGAAACACCGGGTCCTGCACTTAAACAGATTCGTTATTGCGGGACTTCTTAGAGCCTTTACTCTTCTGACGTACACTGTGAATCTCCGAAAGGGAGCTGTAGTGTGCAACGCTCTCCACACTTATTTGTCCACGGGACCGTGGATTTTGCAAAGGCAGTCTTCTAAAATTTAGCGGAGCTCCAGAAGCTTCTCTCAGGGTCAGAGCCATTACGTGCCCTCTAAATAGGCCAATAGATCAATTCTATTTCGGTAAATGTTATTTTCTCTTAAATTTCAGTGGGCTAATATAATGCCTCAAGATTATTATTACTCAGGTACCAGAGTTTTCTGAAGAACTCCCAACAGTAATGAATTATTTTAAAAGATCTTCAGGATTTAAGAGAATTTAGATGGAAATGTTCTAGGACCATTTATAACAATCATAAAAACGATGCACAGCTCATGCATTCTGGTTTATTTCAATTTAGAAAATGCACTAGTTGTACGAGTGAACCAGTTGCAAAACAAATCACTCACAGATGTTCCTTGATTCTTGTGCAGAACTGGAACTAGTCTCCACGGCTCAGCAACCCAGTCAATTGGTACCTGGTGAAGCAGGAACCTTGGAACAGCCAGTACTATTTGTCTGATTTATCCCATTTCCCTTTGCTCTACCTGTTCCCAAGCTCTTCTTTGTACTTCAAAGAAAATTAATTCAGCCATTTCGTGGGGAGAGAACAGAAGACAAAATCTGCTTCTCTACCCTCTATAGCATTTTTAAATTGTTCGCATTTTTTTAAACATCGCTAAGAATGACTTTACAGATGGCAGTCATCAGAAAAAAAAAAATATTTGTTTAAAGGAATTTTCAATAGAAGATTTTACTAGGAAATTCTCCTTTCCTTTGTTTTCTATTTCCTACTTGTGTTACTGAAAATTAGATTTCTCTCCTACAGTTTATTAATGAATATGGAGTGAGTTTTATTTAGTTCAAGTTGGTGAGGTCGAAATATTACAACTGGAAATATTTTGTAGGGCAGATTACTTTCTATACAAATAAAATAAAACACATATGGTGATACTGAAATAGTTAATGGTAGTGATTAAGTAAAGTAAATGCAATATGGTCCCATCATTTTTGACTTTTCTAATCACTAAGATACTTAGAACTACATGGTAGTATATATTTAAGTGTGGAGTCTGCTCAACTGATTAAGAGGTGATTCATACAGTTTTTAACTTAGAAGGCTTGTAATCTGAAGGTTTCCTACCTGGCCATATGCCAGCCTGTATTTGGGAAGTCACTCCAATTCATTCCCATCTCTATTATTTGCCTGCATTTCTTTTTCATTTGATGCTGTGTGCCTGTCTCTTTAAATTCTTGTCCTGCCTTTATTGTGTGTAGCTACCAGTATTTAAGAGCATCTTCTGCTTATTTCTGCCTTAACAGGTCCAGCCCTTTATTGCATGAGCCTGAATTAGTTTCCCAGCTCGGTTTTCATAGAAGCCCCTCTAGCAAACCATGTCCCCATTGAGAAAACATACTTTCATTCACGTCCTCGCTCCCTCCCCCTCCTGGCCTCGCTTATCCAGTGAGTTGCCGTTACTCAGCATGTCAGAGGATGGGAAGAGGCTCCATCAGTGAATGAACTAATGAGTGAACAGAAGCCTCAGTGTAGGGTGCAGGCTGATGAAAAGCAGCAGGGAGGCTGACATTCATTTCCTCACTGTGGGCTGGAATACAAACAGCTGTTTTCCTGCTCTGTTTGCCTGCTCTGCCTTCACACACACCCCGCCTCTCATTCTTCCCCATGTCTCTTTCAGGTCCCGCCATTCTTCTTGGACACGTTTTCCTTCCTATGCATTCTATTTTGGGAATTCATTCTCTGGTTCCTCCTTATCTCTAGTGTTTACATGCAGTTCCTATTCTTTGCTTTAAGATTCTTCTACTTTTTTTTTTTTTAATCTCCACTTGAGTTCCTTTTCTCACTTTTCTGGAACTACATTCTTTCCATTTTTTTTTTTTCCAACTACTCTGTCACTGTTAATACCGATGCTATCTAGACGTAAAGTCGTATGTGGCCCTTGGAACCCGGAACAGCAAAGGAAGCTCAAATATCCCCCCTTATTTCCCTTGCATCTTTCCCTTTATGATGACTGGGATTGATTAAATGGGGACAGCCAGTGAGACACCTTCTTGAAATTGGTATGTATATTAAAAATCTTCCATTTACACAAGAGAGAAGTTTATGGGGCAAATTTTCTATCACAATGAAAGGATAGAGGACAAAGGAAATTGAAAAATACTTTAAGATCTAGGGTCTACCAACTGCCTATACCTAAAGATTCACCACCCATAGTCTCCTATTTTACAAACAGAATATAAATCTTACACTCTAGACCTGATCTCACTAGCCCTGTGGAACATTCTGGATGTAAGTCTCCTGGTCGTGAGATGTGGAAACATTTGCAAATCCAGTTTTATTAATGATCCCATCTCAAGCTGAAATTCCCTGTATGGCCTTAGAGTACCTTTAATATGATAACAAAGAATATAGTACCAGAAAAATCAATGTCTTCAGAGGAATTCCATTAGAGAAAAGGTCAAGTCTACATAGAGTTTAATGTTCATCAGAAGTAGACAACACATGTTGCATAGAGTCAGAACAAAATGGCCAGAGAAGAACGCATCGAGTTCCAGGTGAAAGCTCAAAGGAAATGGTCTTTTCAAAGCCCTGTAAATACTTTACCTACCTTAAGCCAGCTTCTCAGCTCTTCCATTTAACTTTCTTGATTCCAAGCCTCCATGTAAAGTTTGCTCTCAAACATGGAAGTATTCCGGCTGGTCATCTAAATAAAGCATTGAGTTATTGGGCTCAATGATTACTTTTTAAACTTTCCTTCTCATAGTCCAGAAGGTTCCATGTACCCGCCTCACTGGCCACCATGTCCCTGCATAACATTTTGCTTGAAGTAAGAACTCTGATGTCATTTAAAAGTGGCTTGAACTACTGAACTGTATCCCAAATCTTGCCCTGTGCGAAAACCCCGTGAAGAACACTTGAAGTAATGATTCCTAAACTTGCAGGATCTGCACCCCCTCCATTTACTTGTCAGTACTCTCTATGATATACTGCTTGCTCTTTAAGTTAAAGTGGATTAAAATTGAGAGAATGTTTGGAACATCTCATGACTTCCATTAGGCTTAGCATAATTACTTTGGGATATCATTGATGTGTTTATTAACTTTTTATTGGATTTGCATCTTTTCAGCTTACCGAAAAAGTAGATATTTATTGTAAAATCCAAACATTATAAAAATGAGTATCATAGAAAAGGAAAGGGCCTCATAATTTCCACTGTTCTCTTCCACAAGAATATTTTGGTGTCTATTCTTCCATCTTTTGTGTGTGCATACTTTTTTTCTTTTTACAAAAGTGGGATCATCCTGTTTTACACTTTGGTTCTTTTAATAGCTTTAGAGTCCACCACAGTGTACTTAACCAATCTTCTACAGATGGCTTTTGGGTTGTTTTCATGTCTTTCAGGGCCAAAACTATGGTAATGAACACTTGTTCATTTGTAATATTTTTTCACACCCTTCCTAGAGTTCTGGGAAGGATTTTAAAAGCACTTCCACAATAGGAACTAACTTAAGCCATCATATTTAAATTCAAGGTTTAAAGATGATTGTGTTATTCATTCACAGATGCCAGGGTATTTGGGCATCTAAAGGAACATCAGTATGAATTCCCTAAATGAATAATCATTTCCCCAATTTATCTTTTGGTTAACTCCTATTTTTCCTTCTTTGGGTTTATTCGAAGCAAAGCA